GTGTTGGTTGTGAGATTCAATTCCACGTCAATACTGAAACAAACCAACTAACACACCAACAAGTCAGCCCTTGGTTGGTTAAGGCTTTTATTATCTAGTGCATGAATCCACGTCTTCTAGATAATATAAGTTATCATAAATAAAACTTGATTAAATCTCTTAAATCAAATAAAAAACTTAATTTATATTTATCATATGGACTACGGGTGCCAAACAAAATACACCATAACAACATCTAGTTTTTAAACAAAGAAAAGAAATTCATATTTTTCATAATCGTTATTAGCCGATTAGATATAATACCTTTTCTTTTTTATGGCTATTCTTTTTTTAAATAATTAAACTGTTAAAGACCGTTTAAATTGTTGATGGATATAAGATAGTAGAATTTGTAGTTTTTCCAACCATAATCTGTTTACATGAATCTTGTTTGGCCATTTCATTCTATTTCTGCCATAGCTAATGTTAAAGCAATTCATCAAAATCCATGACCAAACAAACCAACTTGATTGATGCATCCCATCCCTCTAGGTAGGGATGCAAACCGATTGGATTGGATTCGAAGGGTATATTCTAATCCAATCTGACATTGTTCATGTCGGATCTGATCCAATCTAGAGATCTGCTCAGATATGATAGGACTCGATCTAAACTAGAATCCTATCGGACCTTCATATATGATTTGATCCAACTTATTTTTTTTAATTAATAAAATATTAAAAGAAAAATAAAATATACCAATTTAAATAAAGATAAAACAAAAAATATAAGTATTTTTTAATTATATTCATCATACATATACATGTTTTTATAATAAAATAATATAACAAATTTATAAAAATACAATATAAATAATATATTTATAAATGAATAAATAACATATATATAACATATATATATATACATATATAACATATATATAACATATATATATATATAACACATCAGATCGGATCTTCTCGAATCATATAGGGGGTGATCTGAATCCAATTTGATCCGAAGATCCGACCAGGTGTGATCCAAATTCGACCAAATAAGATCGGATCTCCGATCCATTTGCATCCCTACCTTTGGGCTTGGGAGAGGCAGGAAAAGGACATATGGATCAAAAAAGGAACCGGTATGATCCTTCATATCATGGACATATATCCTTAGGATTCTCAACACTGAATGGGTTTCAAAACATTTTATAACGTGTGTCAAACACTCTTGTCTCTTCTATGAATTAGTAATTAAGCACATGCGTTGCACGTGAGAAAATTTTCTTCATATTAATTACTTGAATTTTAGATATATCATAGTTAAGATATAAATTGAAAATTAACAAAAGTAACAATATGGTTAAAAATAAACATAAATATTTATTACTCAATTATGACATCATGGGTTTCTTTGAAATGTTGGATCGTTGACCCATATCTAAAAAAAGAATATAGCTTTGCTTTTGGATTAGTTTTAAATTAGGGAAAATTATAGTCGGAGTTGGATGTACATTTAAAATTAGGTTACAAGTTGGTCCATAAACCAACAAAACTATGACAACCGGCTTTACATTTCAAATTATAAAAGTCGTTGCCATGTCATCAGAGGCTTATGTGGCTATTGCCAACATGGGACTCTTAATCCATGTTGGACACAACAAAAAAGGTTATACTGAAATTGCCCTGTAATGTTGGGTGATTGGAAAATAAAAAAAAAAAGGTTTTTTACTTTCTCTCTCTCTCTCTCTCTCTCTCTCTCTCACACACACACTCACATTCATCTTTATTTGCTCAACGACTATGTGATTTGAAAATAAATAAAAATTGTTTTTGGTTTCTGTATTTACGTTCTCTATATCAATTTATCTCATTCTCTCTCTCTACCTATCGTTCTCCCTTAATCTTTCTCATTTGATTTCTCAGTCGATTTCTCATTATCCCTCCCTCAGTTTTTCTTTCGCTCCCTCTCTCATTTTTTTAATTTTCTTACATACTTATATGGTATTAATCAGACTGTATAAAAGAAAATGAGACCAACTTGGTATGGTTCAAAAATTATTACTCCAATTTAATAAAAATTTACAAGAATCTCTTGGCCATGAAATTTACACCAACTAGAAAACAATAGAGATTGAGGGAAAATGAGATATTGACCAAGAGGGAGAGTGAGGGAGAAGAATGAGAAAGATTGAGGGAGAACAATAGAGAGAGAGAGAGGGAAGGAGAGATAGGGGTGTTTTGATTTGGCTACAGATCAAAGATGAGAGAGTGGGAGAGATAGAGAAAGTGAGAGACTAAGAGATGACTATGAGAGTGAGAGAAGGGAGGGAGATCAAGAGACAGAGGGAGTGGAAGAGAAACTAAGAATCTATTTTTGGTATAGGTTTTTTGTTGTGTCCAACATGGACTAAGAGTCCCATATTGGCAACAACCACATGAGTTTTTATAATTTGAAATGTAGAACCGGTTGTAAGAGTTTTGTTGGTTTTTGGACCAACCTACAACCTAATTTTAAATATACAACCGAGTTTGACTATGATTTTCCCTTTAAATTATATATTTCATTTACATTATATAACATATTTTTTACTTATCACACTTAATTTTTGTTTGTCTATGGTATCATTTGACTCAAACCACTAACCCACCATGTAAAAATAAAAATTGTATGATTTCTAGGTTAACATTAAATTTTGTATTACATTTCCATCATTGATAAAATTTTTTCTTATGCATAAAACTTATTTTTGTTCAATGTAATGAATGTACAATATTAGATATGTGCCCTATATTTTAATTTTTATAAATATATAACATTCGATATGTACCCAAAATTTTTTCTATCTTTTTTTTTTATTTTTGTGATTCTTTGTATTTTCTATTATTAAAAAATTTATTATTTGACTATGACATCATTTCATTTCTAGGTAGCTTTTGAATTTGGCATTCCATTTTCATCATTATAAAAAATATTTCTTACATTTTATAGTTATTTATTTTAATTTTTATTATTTAATTATGGAATTATTTATTAATCCATTTGACCCCAAATGGTCGAATTGCTTATCCACCACTAGGAGGGAAGAAAATGGTTTTGTTTTGAAATTGCTTTTCAAAATATTTATTTTTATACTATTAAGATTAATATCATGGATTTAAAAAGAATTCAATAATGAGAAAAATATATCTTAAATATAGGATTTAATTAGAGAGAATAGGAAAGTATTTTTATTTTCAATTGGTTTTAAATTTTATATTCTATTTCCATCATTAATAAAAACATTTCTTATTTATCATACTTATTATTGTTTAATATGTACGTTAAAAATGTTCCCAATTTTTTTTAATTTTATCTATTTTTTAATTTAATTATTTAATCGTGGCAACATGAATTAACCCATTTGATCCAAAATGATTTAATTTCTTACCACCACCTAGATGAAAAACATTATTTTTGCTAGGTAGATTTTAAAAAGATAAGCTTTTATGCTATTGGAATTATTAATTTATTAAGTATGAATTTAATTAATAGAACCTAATGATGAGAAGAAACAAAAATGACTTAAATATATGATTCGATGAACATGAATGCAAGTTAATAACTTAAATGTTGGATTTAATGAGAGAGAATTGAATGCATTAAATATCTTTAAATTACCTCTTTTCAACTCATTTAATATCAAGAACCAGTTACCCTATTTGCCCTCATTTTTTATCAGTAAATTTATAAATTTATATATAGAGGGATAAATTTTGTCCTTAAAAGCTTCTAGAAATATTCTTGAGGCCATTTGTGCTTTTTAAAGTAGTATAGATTTAGATTTCATCCTCACAGTCCTTACAGTTGTTTATTAATTAGAAACATCATTGTCATTAAGGGTGATCATGAAAAACCAAAAAACCTAAAAACTGAACCGAATTGATGAGGTTGAACCAAAAATTCTGGTTAACTGAATTGATTGATTATATTTTGATTCAATATTTTCAAAAAACTAAGGGTACCGGTTTGGTTTTGGTTAATCAATATAAAAAAATGAGCGGTTAACCAAATCAATTGGTATGCATACATACATATTTCATATATTTTATATTATCTATATATTATAAATAAATGTATATATGTACCGTATATGAATATATATTTATAATATGTGATATATTATTTATTATTTATAATATAATATTTTATATGTATTTCTAGCTTTTTATTATATATTAACATATATTATAAAAATAAAAAAACTAAAAAACTAATGAACTCAATTGGCGAACCAATCAACCAATTGACTTTGATTTGACTTTAATAACCGATTTTTCAAAACTCAATTATACCAATTCAGTTTGAAAAATAACTGAATCATGAACATCCTTCGTCATCGTCCATGCCTTATCCCAACTATATAGAATTTGTTATATGAATATTTGACCAATTCTTTTCATTTAAACCTATAAACAAATCAAGTATCATGTTTTTTTCAATGCACGCCTAGCAGTGCTGTGATGACTTATGATGTGAGGATTGTAGTAAAAAAAATATTGTGCGGATGAAATCCCATTTCCTCTACTATAGTTATGTTTATATTAAAAAAATAAAATCTCAAAATGCTAATATTTATATTTAATTATCACAGAAAACAACATAGAAAAGTCGGATTCAACCTAGTGGCCAATCTAGTGGGTTTTTTTATGTGATGGACGGTTTGGATTGTGTGGGGAAGTATCTATCTAATTGGATTAATAATTTTTTTACAGTTAAATACTTAAATATTACTAAATATAGAGTATATTAAACTGTATAATTATCTATTTTTATGAACCACATGAGACATGACGACGTAATATTTTTTATTATTCTCATAGAAAATTTGAGGAAAGCTACATTAGTAAGAATTAATTAAGAAGTTAAATTAAATATCTATAAATAATAATAATAATAATTTATTTATATAAAAACAAATAAACGAATAATTTTTTATAAATACGTGTGCCGTTGATCTGATTCTGGTCCCGCGGAAATTACTCTTCTCCGTGCTGCTCCCTCCCTCTCTATCCATTTGTTCTTCCAATTGTGGAGCTGCAATTTCCATGAAACATCTTTTGGTTGTAGGAGGGTTCATCGGTTCTTAATAATTCCCCCATCACCGAAGCTCTGTTAATCTGGAAGGGCTAGGGCTTCTCGTTGCCGTTTTTGACTCCCATCCCATTTAAATCCTGCTCTGCTCGCGCCAGAAGGGATATGCGATTCAATGGGCTTGGGTTGGTCGGCCCTGTACACCACATCCTTATCGCAATCCCCCCTTGTTATTCATCTGCTCTGAGTCTGAGTCTCAAATCTCCACCTCGCGCTGTTCCTCACGGGATTCTTAGGCTACACTTTCTTCCTTCCTTTCTTCCCATTCAATGCAGTATGAACGATTGACAAGGATTACGTGGTTATGAAAGCTGTTCCATTTGCTTCCCAAAACACAGTAATTCATGCTTTTTTTTTTTTCTTTTCACCAAGATATTCTTCTTCTTCTGTTTTCTTTCTTTCTTTATATTTTTAATCCATTTTTTAGGTTAGAAGGACTTTTCTTAAGTTTTTGGTTTCTTGTTTATGCTTCTAAGTTTTTAATTTCTTTTTGTTTTCTTTCTTTCTTTCTATTTTCATTGTTTTGTGCTCAGGAGAATTTCTAAGAATACGATGTCGTCTGTGGTAGCTCGAACGGGAAGACAGAGGCAAAGATATGAGGACCAACTACGTCTAGTCGCTGGGTAAGTCGTTTCTGAATATTTGCTTTTGCTGTTGTTCGTCGTCATGGCTGTGATGTTTTGCGTTTTGCCTTGTAACTATATATRTATTTTTTAATCTTTCTTTTTATGCTTTTTTTACTTTTCGACATTATCTCTTTCTTGGCTTTCATTTTCGTCTTTCTGCGATTCCTTTATGGTATTTTTGTTTTCAAGTCCCCGTTCATGTGTTTGTTCTCTCCTGTGTGAGGATATCGCTTCCTTTTCGTTTTCTCTGTGCGAAATTAAGATTGTCGTCGTACCCGTACTTGATACGGTTAGATTTTTTTTTTAAGAACGTTCGCTTTAATCTCCTCCGCCAAAATTGCGGTAATGCAGAGACTATGGTTTTGTCAGATGGGTAATATCAAGCCCTGGCATTTTCTTTTTGGGATTTTTCCAATATTATGTGTCTTATCCTGGTGAATTGCAGAACAGTGTGGTGATAAAGCTGTTACTCTTTTTATATTGAACAGTGACATGCATTGGGCCCTACCTTGACTTATGCTGCTTCAGGAATCAGGATCTTATTTGAGTTATTATTTGTTGTGGGCATGACACTTTTTTTTTTTTTGAACTTTTCCCCTATTGTTAATTCGACCGGTGACCCGGTGGCCGTGGTTGTGCGGGCGCTGAGGAGGTGGAATTTAGATGCCCTACCGATCTAGTTAATTTCATTTCTTTTTTTTTTCGAATAGAGTATAGAACCTGCTATTTCGATCAACCCCTTGTTGCGTTACTACCATTTGGTTTTATAGTAGTCAGTGCATACATAAAATTTGTCTTTTGTAGGTTCTACTAGCTTTATATTCCGTATGGAATCAAGATAATCTTTATTAAATCATCCCCATTTTGCTGTGGGTAAACAGATTTCTGTGTCCTCAAGTTCTGTAAATTACACAATGTTATGTGTGAGGAAAAAAAAGGAAAAATGAAGAAACAAAGGAAGCAGAGAAAAGGCATAAAAAATTGCCATGGTTGATTTCCTCTGTGGTGGTTTTAAAAATTTACGCATACTCTGATATTTCATACAATGTTTATGAGGAAAACAAATTATTTATAACAGAATTTCCTTTCTAGGAGTTAAGTTATTATGCATGGGGATAGATCATATTGACGTATGCAAGAGAGGTTGCTTCATTGGAAAGATTATTGACAATTGTGAACAATATTTTTTTTTTAATTTCATAGAGATGTTGTAGTTTGGTAGGAAAACCACTTTTTTTATTTTTTTGCAATTTCACATTTCCTTAATTCAATAGATGTATGTATCTGAGGTACACTACAAATTTATCCCTTTGCACCCAATATTAAGTTGTTTTGCTATATGGTCCATCTATTAGTTCTTACCCATCTGTTGCGACACAACCAGGTGCATTCCTTACAGGATAAAAGATGCTGAGGATCAAAGTTGTGATCTGGTGAACAGATTGGAAGTCCTCATGGTTTCTTCCCCAAATCGTGATGACCTTGTATTTCCAAAGGTGTTCATTTGCCTACATCTTATTCCTTAATTTAACCATTTCTGCTTATGCCACTAGCATGAAATAGGCAAAAAGAAAAAGAGTTATGCCATTAGTTCAAGTTTTGAAACTGATGCTATTCACATAATTTGGTTCAGGGTGGATGGGAGGATGATGAGACTGTTGGTGAAGCTGCATGTCGTGAAGCATTGGAGGAAGCTGGAGTAAAAGGAATACTAGATGTAAGTTCCATTTCCTGCTTCGTGCAGTGCCTCTCTCATGTTTCTGCACATATTCATTGTGTTGAAGTTTAAAGGATTTTGAAATAGCTCTTTTATGTAATCTATTGCTACTTCAGTACTGCTTTTCCCATTTCCCATTTCCCATTTTGCACCAATAAAAAGTTACTTTAATTATATATCAAGGTAAACTCTGTGACTTTTTTATTAATAGGACAAATGAAGGTCATCTACCAACTGATGGTGGCTCAGTTGGTAGGATCTCTGACTTGAAAAGAAAAAAAAAGGTCATCTGATGTTCTGTTTTTTATTGAAGGTGAAATTTCAAAAATTTGAGGGGTATTTTTTGAAAATTTCCATATCTTTTAGTGCTTAAGGATGACCTACATTCTAACAATATTGTTTTTGTTGTTTGGTTGAATGATCCACAGCGAGCATTTGCATTTACCTTTTTGCATGTTATGTTTCCTATACTAATCCAAACACCTAGTTGCTTTGCTTGTGCATTTTTTTGAGCACTGAGTRACCTAGAAGGCTTGAGGGATAAAATCAAGAAAAAGGCCTGGCTGTTTTCAGTACCTACATACCCATTTGGACACGTTTCAGTTTCCCATTTTATACAAGAACCTGATTCTAGGAGGTTGTGCTACTCCTACTAAGTACTTTAGTGCAATCTCAGATTCTGCTATCCTAGCATATAGCTGTCCCTCATGCTAGCAGCAGATTTCATTGCCAGAGGAAATCCTTTATTTTGAACCTTGTGTTGTCCCTGAGATGCCTAGCTTGTGCATCATTTATTTCTATGCCTTCTCAATTAGAATGCATTACATAGAAACATTAGACTGATGGTTATTAATTTGTTGACATTGGAAAGCATTTTGCTCTTTTGGAAGAAAAAAGTTAAAGCTATTCTGTGTTTTTTAATATCCACAAAGGCTTAACATACTAAATACTAAATATGGTGAATGTATATACCACAATTCTTCAGTATTTGAAAATTACTGATCATCTATTAGGTTAGTTCATTATTACCTGTAGTGCCTGCAATTCATGATCAATGCCTGTGTGTAAGTTCTTCCATATTTCAGGATGTTGCCAAATCATAATTGAAATGATTCAAGATTTGAATCATGGTTTAAATTGGAAATACCAACAACCTGAGGTGTGTCAGTTTATTTTAGGTTTCTGGTTTCCTTAAGAAGAAAAATATTTGAAGTTGATTGCAGATTGGGAGTCCTATCACTGCTTTTATTTTATTTCACTTTTATGTTGTCTGGTTTAATTTTAATACCATGAAGAAAACTCACTATGGAGTGTAGGGCATCTCTTACTGGCATGTCCACCTACAGAAAGAGGTTAGGATTGGAGTACGTATACCAATCCAAATATGACCTGTTGGATTGTCAATAGTTACTTTGTAGTACTGTGTGCTGCCTTCTCTCTGGATATTTAGGTCATCTCTTCCAGTTTTTTGCTACTGTAAACTAGGTGGTTGGCGTATAATGTTTCTTGGTTGGACTACATGATGTTGACCAACATTCCCATTAGTTGCTTTGGCATCAATGGATTTCGAGCTTTTTATCCATTTGGATTGTCCTTCTTGTTGCAAAGCATTCTGGTATAAATTTTATAAAATTTTTATCTTATTATTAAAAAAAATCTGGTATAATTACCGAATCAACACTTATTCTGTTCCTACAGGCAACTCAAATCCTACTTTGGCCAACCCTGTGATCTCACAGTCAGCTTGATGCATCTCTACAAGTGCCTTGCTTTTGTGTCCTCCCATATTTATCTTGACATAAAATTCTGATAGACATGACCACCTAATCATCTTTTTTGGTCGTCTTCAACTTCTTGATTAACCATGGAACTCCCCAAGCCCAATGGACTTTGCCCTTGGAAATTGTCTTGGAGTAATAGACTTCTAGAACCTTTTTTTTTTAATTTTCTATTACCTTTTCTATCTTACTTCTGATCCATTACTTATTGGTGCTAGAACCTCACACTACAGACTGCAACAGGTGTTGGTTCTAGGTAGAAATGCAATTGTGGGGTTGTATGGCCTTTTAGCCATTCACTTGTGAGTTGCGGCAAGTTTTTGTGGCAGCCTAATATAGTTAAGTCTAATTTTGCTCTGCCATCATAGGCATGTGGGACCTGATATGTAAAGGTCTCTCAACTGCTTTGGTTACAAACTTCTAGATATGTAGGTTGGCTTTTTAACTCTGTTGGGTCTATATGCTGATGTCTATATTTTGTTCCAATTCTTTAGTATTAATTATATTTCTCACTCATGATAGTCCCATATATTTTGACTTTTGAGAAAAATAGTTCAATTTGTGTTCTCCCTTCAAGTTGTCTAACTATATTGATTAGTGGAGAAAAAGAAGAAAGCTCTCAAGTCATCTAATGAAATATTATGTCTCCTGTGTAGGAAAATCAGCTGGGAGTTTGGGAGTTTAGAAGCAAGAGCAGACAGGATAGCTGTTGCCTAGCAGGTGGTTGTAGAGGTTACATGTTTGCATTGAAGATTACTGAGGAGCTTGAGTCCTGGCCAGAGCAGGCTTACCGTGATAGGAAATGGGTCAGTATGCAATGAAAAGGTAGAGAAATAAAGGGATTTACCATGGCATGATGTTTGTTGAACTAATGAGTATGGTGTGTAAAGAAGGATTTGCAGTGCAATCAGTTGCCTAACAGAAGGGTCAATTGATTGGGTTGATTTATGGTGAATTTTCATAACTGACCCATCAATTGGATAGTTTGTATTTGATGGGCTTGACCGCAGCATGTATCCTAGGGAAAATCATATTGTTATATGCATGCTGTGGTACTGGTACATACCTTTAATTTCGTCAAGTATGAATTACTGCTGCTAGTAATTGAATTGTTTAGAATCCTTACTTGAGAGTTGAGGCTGGGTTTTTCTTCCCTTTTGCAGTTGACAGTAAGAGAAGCTTTCAGACTCTGCCGGTATGAGTGGATGTCTAGAGCACTTGAACAATTTTTGGGAGTTATTTCTGAGAACAGTGAACATGAGGAGAGAGAAGACCTGATAGGAGGTTCTCCTTCAGTTGCAGGTCCAGATGTTGTTGCAGAGCATCAGATCTTGCCTCCAAACTGCTTTGTGAAACCTTCTGGTTCCCAACACCTTGACGAACCACATGACTGTGTGGTTCAAGGGTGATAGCMCAGCCAAACAAATTCCAACTGGGAGGAGGGATCCCATCAGTAAAGCCTTCTGGTTGATTCTCAATCTCTCGCTCGGTGCTGTTGGAAAAGGGTATTGTTTTTATGGGTACAGACTACAGTTATGTAATTTTACCAAGTTATAATGTTACATTTACATTACCACATGGAACGTAAATCGCAGTTGTCCGGGTGGCTTCCTTGGAATTAGCACTACTGCTGACTGCTCTGGTGATTAAACCAACTGAGTCGTCTTAAATTGAGATTGAGGTAGCTTGAGAGCATTAGTTTAATTAGACTGATGATGTTAGTAAGTAGTAACCGTGGAGTCCGGATCCGTCTAAAGCTGAAACAAGATGGTGCCATCTGTATTTAAAGTTAAAGAAATCCATCCATCCCCCACTGTGTCTACCTGATCCGAGTCTGGCAGCACTGGTTGCAATATTTGGGTTTTTTCCATTGGATTGTGGAGCTGGGATGGATCCTGGTTAGAAGAATCTCTCTTAGCCCCTGGGGGTGGAATTTGAGGCTTGTATTGCGAATGGGTTGGATTGAATCTGATATGCTTAGATTCAAATTTGATAATTGAATCTTGTCCAATGGATTCGGATTTAGAATTTTAGATATTGAACGTCATCAATGAATAATGTATTGAATTAAAAATATCTTTAATATTTTCCTCAAAAAATATCTTTAGTATTATGGGTTTGACATGATACTGGAAAATTTTAAGTTTATAACTAATCAACAGGTATCATGCTGCTCCTCCATCTGAGTAAATTTAGGGGTATCATAAAGTGGGAATCAATCAGGTACGGTTTATAGATCCATATTTGATCCCATTATAAATGGTCCCTTGGATTAATTGGATCATATTCGACTTCAACTACCATTATATGTAGAGCTGTGAACTTCAACTACCATTATATGTAGAGCTATGAATGGTCTATCCAACGAATTTGAATGGACTGAAAAATTACCCTTGTGGTTTAGTTAATTAACTAATTCATCTTTATTGTTTACCTAAAGTATTTTTATTGTTTCTTATAATTGTCTAAAACCTCCTCTACCGTTAACTCTTCATCATAAACCGTTCACATGTGACATCACATGACTGATATATTTTTCAAAAATTTTTAAAATACGCTTTTGTCATAGAGATCTCAGGGCACCAAGACCGGGAGTGGGCACTTTGTTATAGAGTTTCAAACCAAAGCACAATGGAACCAAAGACTGCCTTTTTACTTTTTGAATCCAATGCTTGACAAGGCATTAAGAATTCTGTCAAAAAGCAAAGTTCCCATGAAGCTTGGAGAAGACCTATCAAAAGATCTAGGAATTTCAACAATTGTATGAAGATGTCAAAGAGTTCCCACGCAGTGAAAAACCATGGTGGAGAGTTTGCTAGTTGCATTGAAAATGAATTGTTCAATTTGTGCATCACAATCTATTTCATGGGATACCTGTTGTGACTGTGAAAAACTAAGGCCTCGTTTGGTTTGTGGGAATAGGGGTCTGGAATCGGAATTGGAATGGGCTACTCCGGTTCCAAATGTTTGGTTGGGCAGAAACAGAATCCCATTCCCATTCCTGCTAGAATGGCATTCCCCCATTTGATGAAATGGCCATTCTCTACCCCTCCCTTGGGAATGAAATTCCATTCCTGCTGATTCTAATTCTCATTCCCATTCCTTTCTAAACCAAACAAATTATGGGAATGGACCATTCCGATTCCAAATCCAGAGGATTTTGATTTCGATTCTGATTCCAATTCCAATTCTGACTACGAACCAAGCAAACCCTTAGGAGTTCCTACTTTCCATGTTTCTAGGTTTTTAGGAGCTCTTCAATGGCCAAATGTGAATTGGAATCAATTCAACTAAGGAGTAGTAACATCGGAAGTTGCTAAGTACTATGTCTAAGCTACCTAAGATGATATGATAGCTAATGGTAAACTAAACTGAATTTTTAGAAATAAGGTGATGGAATGGAGAGAAGAGACAGATTCTAAAATACAAAAGAGGAGTAGTGTTGAGTTGAATTTCTACAATCAATAATTGCTGAAATTGGTGGAATTCTGTTAATCTTTGGCTCATCTTCGTTCAACCTAATCTTGTTTATATAACTTGGGCAGGTGGTTTTCCTTGTTGTTGTTTGGGTGTTTCCCTCTTCATCCTTGTTGTTTATGTTTTGATGTAAGAAGTGGGATGTATTTTTTTATTTGAGATGTGTGATAAATGCAAGCCCTACAACATTGATATGAGATGGAGGGCTTCTGCAGTTTCTGCTTCTGGTTTCCAGATGCCAATTCCTTTGTGAAATTATTGAAAACAATTTTGTGAGACTAAGATATGTGACACATTGTACATTAAATTTGAGATCAGCAGCACCAACCCTTAGACTAGTTGGCCAACCTAGAACCCAATTTAGCGTTACTGCCTTTCAAAGAAGATCTGACATTAATGGTGCTAGGATTTGCCATGTTTGTCAATGGAAAATCATAGAGACCTTTTGCCTTTATAAAAAGCTATGAATTGTAACACAAACCCTAAATTCACCCCAAATCCAATTGATGTGGATTTGTTCAAATTTAAAATCTACGAACATGTGCAAAGTAAGATAATAATCCTTCTTCTGGTCGTGTGACAATCAACTGGACCGACCAAATTATAAGTACATATTCAGAGAAGGGTTGGTAACGATGGCAATGACGGTGGTGATAGGGAGATATGACAAATGCATGACAATGGGAAACTTAAGAAGGTTCCTAAAATTTTTCATCAGTTGGGTTATATATATTTTGAAAATTTGAGGAATAGTTGAGGACAAATTTAATATTTATTTTTTTCCGTTTGTCAGAAACAATAAGGGCACTTTAAGACAATATGTAAACAATAAGGGTAGACTTAGTAAATTAAATAAATCATAAGGGTATAATTTAAGAAATTTGCCCTTATAACAAATTTGTTTTCATGATTTTGTCTCAATTAATAATTGGGTTGATTCTGGTTCTTGTTTGTTCCAATTGATCCAGACCTAGAACCAACTATTTTATTAAATATAATAGCTTCTTAATTTTCTTATTATTTTTGTCATATTTTATATTTAAAATGATAAATTTGATAGATAATCTATAAGATACTATTGGTTAAAAATTTTTAATTTATTAACATATAAATAATTTAGTATTTTCTATCAATTCTATTAAGTTTATATTATCGAAACTTAAATTTTAAGTTACTATTTAAATAAAAATATAATTTTCACTATAATCAGGTCTTGACCTGATAGACTTGACTATTAACTGGGACGGATCTTAGTCTGGTTCTATCTACACCCAACTCAAACCTGATCCGATGATAACCCTAATTATATCTTCAAGAGTTTGAATTTCCTAGTCAACAAATTGGTCCTCCACCTTACAACACTTGCAGTCATACATTAGGAATATCTTTCCATGAATGAAATATACAAATATGTAATCAATGCGTGACTGAAAATGCTGTGTGAAGTTGGTGAGGAAGAAATCTGAATCTATCTTATAGTATCATGTTTGCCTTAGCTTCACGTCCATGCTGAATTAATTTTAGACTTGTAGTTATAATGATAAATATTGTTAAAAGCTATACTGTAGTACTTGGTGGATCGGATCCATGAGAATGATGTGCTCTGTGAGAGTAAAGACTAAAGACTGCTTCATACATGCCTTCAATCAATCTCTGTTAAATATTATCAGGACTGTATATTCTAAAGAATTTGGAGAAACGGACCAAGTACGTGGAAATTTATGATATGATCGGGAATGAACTGAAAAAAAAAAAAAAGGAAAAGAAAAACCAACCACATGTTTTAGAGAGAGAGAGAGAGAGAGAGAGCGCTAAGATTCCGGGAAGGAAATTCATGCGCGACAAGACATTGAAAGTTTGAAACCTACAAGCTTCCTTGAAACCATGAAGGCTGTTGAAAATGAAAAGGTAGTGGATGCAAGTGCAACCACTATGAAGCAAGCAGCTACCTTTTTATACAAAAAAAAAAAAAGGAAAAAAATTAGGGTTTTGACGGGACTTTGCTGTCTGTCTACACTCTACAAGCCACGACTCACAACATAAAAAGTGACGAGTAGTTCATACAACACAACAGAACAGTCAACAGACAACAGGTGGTCAAGGGAAAGGCCCTCACCCTCAGCTCTCCGGTGTGACACGGTCCTTGCCTTTGTATGTTGTCGTTCATTAATAAGTGGAAAACTCCCTTTCAAAAGAGAAGGGATTTGGTCTATTAATTAATATTGGGCTTAAGCTGGTCCTTGGTGGTACAAACTACAAAGCAAAGTACCATTAATTATCCCATGTTGCATGCATATTAGAGTAGTGGGGTCTGAGAGTAGAGACTAGCTAGAAACTGTGTTTATAACTTTCATCTAGCTACAATTAATAAAGTTGACGAGCTTGCAACGAATTGACGACGTCTGATTAATCTACCAACAACGTAACTGATGCTGATGATCATTTGAACCAACCGAGATCATATCGTTAGACGTAATGGCATTGATGACATGGACTCATGGTCCAGGTCCAATATACAAATTAAAATTAAATCGAGGTTACATGCATGGGTGCCACACCCACATGGCTTCAACCACACTAGTACTACTGTTGCACTACTTGCTCTTGTATACTCCTACGTACATCCCCCTAGCTACTGTACTACCTATGATCGATCGATACAATTTAAATTTGCAATGAATGATCTTCCTAGGTTGGGACTAGCTACTTCATATATTGCTTGTTCTCTTTTATTCTCTGCTGCTGGTTTTGATGAATTATCACAGCTAGCTAGCGACTAACGCTTCAATATTTATTATAATACTTTTTCCATGTATTCAATTCACATATATTATTACTTAGCTTCTATCGTATATGAGAGAGAGAGAGAGAGAGAGACAACAAAACAACAATCGTGGAGGGCCTCTCCTAGTTTACCTAGTGCCTCTTTAACAGTCACGAGTCAACAGGTGCCATATCCCAGTCATCTCTCTCGTTTTACTTAATTTGCATCAAATTTTGGTTGTAGAAATAAGTTAATTTGATAGCCCGGCCCATGCATGCCACCATCTGAAACAGTGAAAGGATCTCAAAATTAAAGAGCAGGTTGTTTGTTTGTTTGGTACCTTATTTGCACCCATCTACCTAATTAATTAGCGATTTGATATATTGGGATGGACATGCATGTTTCTTTGGTCTTCTTTTGATCTATTATGATATCAAATTTAATTTAATTTAATTTTTAAAAGTTGTACACATATTGCTTGCACATGGGGGGAAAAAAGAAAATTAGAGAATTTGATGCCTGATGAGACTGTATATAAATGAATTTTGCAGTAGGTTCATGTTCTCTTCTTAGAGTTCGGTGTTATTCCCAAAGATGCCTTCTCAAAGTGGACCCATTTGCATTTGGTTTGGTTTTGTACACAGCCCTTTCTCTCTCTCTCTCTCTCTCGTTAAAACTTTGAAGAATGAAATTATATAGTTAAGTGGCCTGGGTTCTATATATGTTGTTGTTGGCTTGTTGCTAGTAAAATTAAAACAGGGATCGATCGATACCTGAGCCTGACGTGATATTATTCAAATAGAATTAATGAAGAAATATGGTCCATTCAATCTAAACTGCAAAACCTGTGCTACAGGCGGTTAGCTACAGCTGCAGGGTGCTTTTCCTTTTGTGAAAACTGAAAACTGGGTGCGCCCTGCTGCCCTACACGGACATCCAATTATCCACCCAACAATATTCAAACTGCTGCTTAGGGTTTTTTAGGCTTAGCCAACCCAATAACCACATAAAAACTGCGCGCGCGCAACTTATGATGACTGGATTGATAGATGGAGCCAAGACTTGTCACCCCAATAGCCAAACATATATATATATATATATAAATAAATAGGTGGTAGACAAGTTCCGAGGACCATTATTTGGCACCTTCTCAGCATCTAAGCCACACAAAAATATGCACTTTGGATGGCTTTAGATGCATGCATGATATATTGTCCCCGATCGAACTGGGCCTAGCAAAGCTTCTTTTCCCTAGCTTTTATATTTTTGTTCTATTTGTTTATACTAAAGCATACAAATCACTTTTGACTGTAAGCTTATCCTATTTGGGGAATTGGTTTATTCTCTCTCTCTCTCGTGCTTTACACACACTAGGCAGAGGGGAATCCTGTTGAGGAATCATTGACTAGACACATTTAGACAAATCCATATTGACAGCCATGGAAGACAAAGTGACAATAATTACGCACAAGGTTTAGAAAGCTTAGCTAGAAGCCAACACCAACTCTTAATCCAAATCCCAATGGAGCTTTCACTTATCCCCCTTTTTTCATTTTATTAACACAGGGTGCCTAGCCTGTTACTGTAATACAAGTGTAGTATTTGTCCTGCTTTAATGTCCAAGCAAAATTTTGACCCTTTGTTATCTACCTTTGTTCAGAAAAGAAACAATACTACTTGGTACAAGCTTAAGCTTAATGTGCAAAAACATGAAACATTCCATTAAAAAAGAGAAAGGAGAGAGAAAGAGATCCCTTAGCCTTTTCTTTTTCTAGTATATTAAATTCAGAGATCCGTGACAACAAAGGTACCATACCTGGATTTGATTAAATTAACAAGTGATAATTAGGACCTCCTAACACCTTAGCTTATAATGAGCCTGATCCCAGGTCCAAGGATGACTGATCTCCAAGGATTCTCTCTTCCTTTGGGTTGGGGGTTGGGAACAAAACGACGCTCCACTGCTTATTTGAGGCTTGAAGCTTGCCCAGTTTTGATTAAGCATTGCATGGTCATGGTCGAGCCAAGTGCTGGGCCATGAGCTCAACTAGCTAGTTAGGCCCACCTAAGAAGAATGAAGAGTAAGAGAGGAGGAAGGGATCAGGCTTAAGGGACATATATATATAGCTAGCTAGTATTCTATATATTTATATATAAATATGTGCTTGTAACAACACTGGTCACGTGTGAAAAGGACCCATTTACAGATAAGTCCTAAGCAACCCTACCTGGCTAATGTTATTATAGATTGTTAAGCATGTAGTAGGGTTTATAATCCCTGTAGGGTGATAGGATCTGCCCCAAATACCCCAAAATATACAACTCAATGTGGATTAATGGGCCATGAGATGGGTCCACTTGGTCAAAGGCTACTTGACTTCGCATTTTCTCTTAGCAAGTAGGTAGTGTGCCTAGTGATTGTTTTCTTCAAAAAAGGGGCTACCTATGTGTCCTTCTCACATGCAACCCAACAAGCCTTTTCCCTCGTTCCGGTCCTATGTTCTTCATTTTAATGTTCACCAAGGGATGATGCTTCAATGTTCAAACCTTACAAAATAAAATAAAAAAGAAGAGATTAAAAAACAAAAGTCATTTCGATGTGTCATTGAAAAGAAACAAGGAAGGGAACCTTTTGATTTGAAAAAAGATATARGAGGAGGGTCGTGGAACTTATCATTGGTTTTGGCTTAAATTGGATGCACATGGGATGGCTCTTCATCAATCATATTTCTTAAAAACACCCCCACTTACATGTCCCATCTATGTAGGATTAGGTAGCATGATCCAATTCACAACCCATATAATTAATCACCTCCCCAATCCCCCCTCCATCATTTTAGAATTTATTTTCTTCATTGTTTATCTTCTTCTTCTTCTTCTTTTTTCTTTCAAGTTCCTGGACCTCACTCTTTATTTCTCTTCTTATGCTTTACCAAGGTTTTAAAAATTGACTCGGAATTGAAATCGTTTTGCACACCGGATTCTAGGTCAATGGTTCAACTGTCTGATTTAAATGGATGGCCCATTTTAATGAAAAAAATAATATATTAAAATTAAGAACAACTAAAACCATTGAACGGGTCGAATAGGTCGACTATTTGACCACCCAGGTCAATAGATCACTGACCAATTGAACAATTTTTTGCTAGAAACTGGGTTTGGATTAAAACGGAACCAATTGTCTGGATGATTCTCAAGTTGAATGGTCCAACCATCTGATTCAATAGCGATTCGAAAACATTGGCTTATAATTCTCTTTTGATGTTTTTTATATTTTCCCCCTTACTAATTCATAAATCAAGCTCACTTTGGTTCTTCAATATCTATTACATGTTTGATTTGGGCCATTTAAGAAATGGATGACTATTAAAGATTAAAAATATGGAATCTAACTACTAACACTTACAATTAAATGATTGGTTGGCCTTAGGTAAGTTAGATTTACATACAGAAGAGAGAGAAAGAGAGGGGGGGGGGAAGAAATATCCAATGATTTCAAGTAATTTCTGCTAGATCATACTTGTGTTTGGGTTGGGGGTAAGGGAACATTTTCCCAGATCGGGGTTGAGACTTGAGAACTAAATCCTATTGACCCAACCCCGTCGAGATGTGCCCATTCATTACAAGTCTCTGACATACACAAAAACATTGATAGGCACATAATAAATGCACATGCAAGACCCAGCCATCTGATTATAAAAAGACATCTCCCAAAATGATGGACCCACCCATCTGGTGGCAGGAAAGTAGTGAAGGTCCCCATCATGCATCCGGCCGGCCTTTATACATAGAATCTCTGATTGGGGAGAGGAGAGTTCAGGGACCATCCACGCAATGATCATTGGGGCCGGGCTAATGAGTAATGATCATAACTTTGAACAACCCATCATATTCATATTCATATATAATGGGAGAAGCAAGCAAGCTAAGTCTTTTAGAAATTTTCTTCCTTGATTAGACTTTGGAAGCTTTGGATTTGAAGATATCTTTAGTACTTCAATTGAGGGGCATGCACGCTCACAGAGTCACATATATATACACAACAGTTTGTTATTCTATTTTCTGATCAGTAGATCTTGTTTGGCAGAGTCCATGATTAGATCAGGCCCCCGGTCAAGTCAATTAAGCACTGCAATCTCTGGCTACCTTTAGAGTTTAGAGGGCCACATGTAAAGATGAAGTTTGGTCCACCCAGGCACCCACCATAAATAAATATCAAACTTAATAGAGGGATAAGTGATATTTAATTTAATTAGTTCAATTAAATTATTGAGATTGAAGAATAATCTTGAAACATGGTATCTAACAGAACATGCTAATCATGTCCTGTAAGATCTCTAATCATGTTATGTTGCTTCTCTTACATTCTTTTATTTATTTTTTTTTTATTTTTCATTTCTTTTTTCCTTTTTTAATCTTCCTGAACGTGAGCATCTTCCCATCATTAGAAACTCACCCTCAGAGAGAGAGAGAGAGAGAGAGAGTCAATGTACAATTAATATACATGCAGTTTCTTCAAAATGACTGAATTATCCTTGGTCCATGAATCCATGGACTCGTTCTAATTATTGATCTCCTTAATTTACAAATAAACCCTGAAGGTGAAACGACACATTTCAGTGAGAAAATAAATGGAACACATTTCATAATGGAAGAGGAATAATGCATCATAGCGTTCATGTGATATGTGAGCGACCCACGAATCAAAGTTCAAAGGCACTCCACCTAGCCAGAACTCAGAAGATAGGACAATTTAAGGAGTCCGATCACCTGCGCGCCCATAAAACACCTTCCAAGTTCCAACTCTCTACCAATATAATCTCATACTGCATGGTGGGTCCCATTTAAGTGACAATATGACTCAAGTAGCTTATATAGCATCACATATGGATGGAAAATGAACTAATGAAGAGAGGAAGGTGCCAAGGTATGATATTACCATTTTGGAAAAGCTCAAGGGCAGCGAAGGTAAAATGCCAGGGATATATTAAGTAGATTCTTTATTTAAACGGCTAACGTGCAGCTGAGAAACAATCCCAATCTCGTCGAGAGAAGAAGAAGATACTTTCTTTCTCTGGATCAAACTCCTCTCTCTCTCTCTCTGTTCAGAGTTACAAACAGAAAAGGAAAAAGACCATAGCTTCAGAATCTCGGTCTCTGTTATGGATTTCACCAACACAGCAACAAACCCGTCTTCGTCTTCGTCTTCATCACCTTCCATGTTTTTCCAGGAGAAAAAGAGCAAAAAGAAGCAGCACCAGCAGCAGGAAAGTACAGGGAGGTTTCTGGGTGTTCGAAGAAGGCCATGGGGACGATACGCAGCAGAGATAAGAGACCCATCAACCAAAGAGAGACATTGGCTGGGCACATTCGACACCGCCGAAGAGGCCGCTTTGGCCTACGACAGAGCCGCACGCTCCATGCGCGGATCTCGCGCTCGCACCAACTTCGTGTACTCGGACATGCCACCCGGTTCTTCTATAACCTCTATAATCTCTCCCGACGAAACCCAACATGACCTCTCGGCCCTCTTCGTCCCTCCCCCCGAAAACGATCCTACCACCCAACTCTACTTCTGTCAGGAATCCGGAAATGCGTGCAACTTCTCCACCGGTTATCCTGCGGTGTCGGCCGGTGACTCATGGATTCCAGCAGCGAGTGTTTCTGAACCATCCGTTGTGGGAGCAGCAGGCGTCAGTTCACAGCCTCACCAATTCTACGATAGCACGGAGCTCCCTCCGTTGCCGTCTGACGTTTCGAGTTGTTTCAGTAGTTCGAACGTGCCTCTGTCGGGTTATGATATGGGGGAGGGAGCTTGGCCCGAGGCAACGAGCTTTCTTGGGTTTTCGGAGCAAATGACAACAAATGGATTCGAAACAGTTGAAACGGGGTCGTGTTTGGGTTTTGATTCCAGCGAGTTCGTTCACAGCCCGCTATTTGGCCGGATGCCGCCGGTTTCCGACGCTGTATCCACAATTGCGGATGGTTTCGATTTGGGTGCTTCCGCTTATTTCTTCTGATGCTCGCTTTGTTGTAGCCTGTAGGGTTTCGGTTTTTGATTTCGTACGTGCTGCAGCCTCTTTTTTGTTTTGTTTTGGGTTTTTCTTCTGTTTTTAATTTTTAAAATTTTCATTAAAAAGTTGCTTTATTTCGGTGAGACGAACTGACGAAGGGATGCATGGTATATGGCATGGTATCTGTAAATCATCACTCATCAGAAGAGTTTTGGTTTTGGAAAGGGGAGAGAGAGGGACTCGGATGATGAGTTTTTTAATTTAATTTGGAATTTTAGGGCGAACGCGAAGCTTTTTTTATCCCCCTTTTGAAAAATGGAATTCTCCTCTTCTTTTTCCTTTGAATTCACTTTGGTGTTGGTGTCATCACTCATCAGCAGTGATTTCATTCCGCTGTGGCTTTAGCCTTTAGGAGAGTTGGGAGTTGGACGTCTTGGGTTGGGACTAGCGGAATATAATAGCTGGGTTTCCCAATGCAAATGCATGTCCCAGACACTCCCAGTTATGTTGCACATGGCGAAAACACAAAATGGAGTAGAGATTAGAGGGTGGTTGTTTTATATTTTGTAAATATATAAGGGATTATCAAGTAAGTATATATGGGTCATGGGATGTTTCTTTTTGAGTGTGTGATTTAAGGGATTCGTGGCAGACCAACCAACCACCCGTGAAAGGTGAAACTAGCACTCGGCATGGTTTCTTTTGTTGAGTTTTGAGTGATGTTCACAATAACATAATTAAGCTTAAAGAAATAAATATACCAAGGGAGCATGGAATTGAACAACTATGGAAGGAAATCCAAGACAACCCCCCAAAAGGAAGAAGTTGGTGCGGTGTAGCAGTAAGCATTGAGCATGGGGGCAAAAAGTTAATTATTATTGATTGAGTTGAGGGCCGGGGTTAAAAGTTAATAGTTACATGGGCAAAAATATAAATGAGATGTAACTAAAAATTATTATTATGGGAATTTTAATAAAAGATATTATAATTACCTTTACTGATACTGAATTCAGAGGAAGAGGAGGATATGGGAATGAAGTGGATGAGAGAGAGTGAGGCTGATTCATGTATTGCTAACATAATACACATGGGCACATGCAAGTTTGTGCCAAACATCCACCGCCACTTCTTTGCAACAAAAACAATTGGTTATTTTTCATGATTCATGAATCATGATTGGGGGGGACTGGGGACTGGGGACTGGGGACTGGGGACTGGGGAGGGAGTATAAAAAGGAGGGGACGAGTCCGGCACTCCTAGTCCTAGATCTCCTGACTCCTCACTCCTGCTTATTCGCGTGCATTTCCATTCCTTTCATAACACCTCCGCCTCTCAACTCCCAACTCCCAATATATTCATGTCTTATTTTCTATATTTTTAAATTCAAAAATCTAAAATCTAAAACAAAAAACCATTTCATGAGAAACATATAAGCAGAAAATCTGATACTCTCTAGCACTTCCCTCCACAAGTCCCAAGGGTAGAGTTTAGTTCATACTCCATACCAATGGGGACATGTGGGATGCACAGTTACGTTAAGTGAAATTGAAGTAAAAAGAACCCCATACATTAGATTTGTTATGTGAAATTTGATCAAAAGGACTTTTTTTTTTATGTTTTCAAATATTTATCGCATTGACAACAAATATTATTTTATAATTTGTAGATTTATTCACAAAATATAAATTTAACCAGATTTAGAAATTAGATATAACCATAAAAATAAAGAAATCTTGTGTATAGCCATTTTATGGTGGAAATCTATAAATTTTAATTGCAAACATATTATTAATTTGAATATGATATTGATATTTGGATGTGAACATGGTATTGGTAGTTAGAAGTAGAACCAATGCAATGTATGGACTTTGTTAAAACAAAATTAAAATAGGAAAAGCCCTCTAATATTCTTAAGGTTGCAACTTGGACGCACTTTACCCAAGCTTGACCCAACTTAACCTGAGTTTTTGCATGGTTTGGGCCTAAATTTGGGATGAGGCCTTCAGTAGTCCAAGCCCACCATATTCAATTTATTTATATAAAAATATCATTTTTCTTAATTACATGTATGTATGGATGCACACTTGGGATCTGCTACTCATAACACTGTGTAAAAACCTACATAACCAATCACAAGTTAACACACTAGTAGTGTTCTAGTCTATTCTATATCCACACCCATTTATATGTAAATTGTTTATGAAGAAGCCCTTTACACATGGCATGCATGGTGAGTAGCAAATTTGGGTTTATATATGCATTTGTGTGTACATTTATAAAAAAAAAAAAATGTTTATATTTTCAACCAAATTTTCTCCCAAATTGGGCTATAAAGCTCAATAAAAATTGCTACAGAAAAATATATCGATAAATTCTTTCAAATCTGAGTAACCTTGCCCAAGCATAACTAAGTCTGACTTAACCCAACCCAAACACGAGCCTAGCTCGAGTCATGTTGGGTTAAGCTGGGGTTGGACTGGGGTGATGAACTCAGGTTCAACCTTGGTTTGGACTAGGCCTAAGCCCGAATAGGATTGGGCCTAGGTTGATCCTCAACCTGATATAATTTGCCCAAGTTGCACCCTTATTCCTAAGCTTTTCATTAATGTTAAATTAATAAAAGTTTGTTTTTAATTTATATTTATTGTAATATTAATATTATTATTTTTTTAAAAATTAATAAAAAGTAATGCTATAACTACTATTTTTATTTAATTAATATTTTGGATTAATTTTTATTAAGTAATTAACTTAATTAATTGAGTAACTTATTAATTATATTTGATTAAATTATTAAGTTAATTAGTATGGTCACTCAACTTTTTCCTTGTGATTATAAAAATAAATCTTTTTTTTTCATTTTCGTAGAAGGCTAAAGAGTGGTGGATATTTTAACTAATGGTTAAACTAACAGTTTTTTTTTTATCAAGCCAATGGTTTCTGACCAATTTTTGGATTAATTGACCTAAACCATGAGGGTGATGGTTCAAACAGTTTGATTGCTTAGATCAATGACAGTTCAAAAACATTGGATTAGAATATGATGAAAAGTGCAGTATAAGAGTTCGATTTTCTCCACACATATTTGGTCCTCACACCGACCTTGCAACACTCTCAGCCACATTGGGAACATCTCTGCACTTGTATGTTTTAATTGATGGGAAGATGTTCCCAATGCACAGCTGGGAGTGTTATGAGGAACAATTTTATAGTGAGATCCGGACTAGTGTAAAGTCAGATATGAGATCGGCTTCAGTCAGTGTAAGTCCCGTTCAAACAGCCTTTTCAGCCTTGCACTGGGAATATCTCCATACCTATGCACCTTATTTCATGGGGAGATATTCCCAGTGCAAGGCTGAAAAGATACAACAACATCCAATCCATATCCCTTGTCTTTTCATGGTGGAAGGAGCTAACTTACACACACACACTAATCGCCCTAAAGCGGAATGAAAATATTTTCGGAAAACTACAGATAGGCCCAATGTAGATTTCTGAATTCTACTACAGATCTATAAACATTCAAAACGTCAAAAACCCCCACTCTATACATCAATGCCCACCTGTGAATTGGCATCAATTCCGAGATGACACCCACCCCAGATGTACTTTGGGCCTAAAAATTCTGACCCTGGGCTGAACTGTCATTCTCCCAAATATTTTCCCCAAACAAGCCAATATAAAGATTTAGTAATTGGGTCATCAATCAAACTCCTTTTGATTTTTGATTTGGATGAATGAATTAGAGGAGATTCTATAAACTGCTTTTAGACTATAATCCCTAGAATTTGGATATGATGTGATCGGGCCCGATTAGTACTGAAGAAATAAAAATAAATTAAGAAAGGAAAACATTATGTTAGAGAGACTAAACAACCATCCTTAATTTGTTATATATGTTGTCAAAACCCACCCACTTTCTCCCTCTTTTGGTAATGCAAAACATAACAACCTTAAGTGCAAAATTACTCAAATGATCGATACGACCAAGTTTTCATCATGTAATCTTGGAAATAAGCTAGCTTGCGATCGATCAAAAATAAAGACAACTCTACTCTACATGCCCAGTATAAGCTGCTGTGTGACAATGGCAGCAGCCAAGGAGTAGCAGCAATCAAATAACAGTTGGATCGAAAGAGACAAAGCATGTTTGGGCTTTAGTAATTTAAGGATATATATATTAAAAGTTATGGTTTTGGGCATTGGATACGCACCGCACGATAACCCTTCCAAAATCCCAAACTGATATAGAAAAGAGTAGTGGTAGGGCATGTTGTTGGGAAAGGACAAGCTTCTAATGGGGGCTTCTGCACCATTTTCAATTGTATCAATGCACCATTTTCAATTGTATCAATGTCATGGGTGAAGGTAGCCAATCAAGCAGGATATCTAATTACATGAGCGCTGAGGCTGAGGCTGAGGCGTGAGGGAATATGCAGCCATCCCACATCCCTACGCAGGGGACGTTAGGGTTGTGCATGGTAACAGATTGGATAGATCGGTTTAAGACCAGTTCAAAGTCGATTCTATTTGGTTCCGGTTAGAATTTATCCATTTACGCACGCATTCTTAGTGTTAAGTAGTAGTCGACTACTACCTTTGAAGCATTAATCGACTATTAGAGTTTAGCAATTGAATACTATGCATAGAAAGCTTCTTCATAGGATTGTTTTTCAGCTGTTCGAATTACAATGTCCCTTTCCTCTTTAAGAGAAGTTTGAAACACCTTAAAAATCATCTTTGAGACTTTACAATAGAGCATTGATCAATCTCTAATGGTTCAAAAATGGTCATACTGCCTTTATAGTTACAAAAATGAGTGAGAATCAGAAACAGAGGCAAAAATGTGAAATTCAAAGAGTTTGGCAAGAAAATTAGAACATTAGATTAGCATTCAAAGGTTAGAAAAGAAGATTAGTTTGAGTACAAGAAAGTGGAACCCAATTCCCTCCCCTCCCCCCCACCCCCTCTCTTGGTTTAGGTCACATAGGCTATCACTAACACAAATCCAATCTCTGAACTCTTATTCCACAATTTAGGGAAACCTCGGATTGATTAAAAAGCCAAGAAAACTTGGGTTTCATCAATTTGAAAATTTTTTATTGATAAAATCATTCCGAAACAGCTTAAGTGTTTTGATTGTGTGATAGATAGACCGTAACTTTCTCAAGCAGAAAAACAATAAAACGGCAGCCCAACAAGCGTTTTGGATGAAATAACAGACTTTATTAAATTAGTCCAGTTAGAACCGGACCTCCTTTTAAAAGCTCAAAATAATACACAGCAGCAGGGGTGGTGGCAGCATTTCTACAGTAATTTGCTGCTCGTACAAAGCACCCCATGTCATAAAATGGGTATAAGATTAGCAATGAAGACCATGAAGGAGAACAGAATTTACATACAAAGAGGGGGGTCCAATTAACAGGGTTAGGTGTCCGGTTCGGATTTTAACGGTAGATTCAAGGCGGCACCTGAGGATGAGGCACTACTTCCATTCTGAAGATAGAGACTTCCCATCACAAGAGAATCGCTTACCAGGCCAACATTGTCAACATCAAAGTTGAGAGCACCTCTGAGATTCCGTGTGCTGGAAAATGGAACAAAGGCACCATCAGCATTTATAGAAGAGTTAAAACTACAAAGACTGTTAGTACAACTTAACGCACCCATTCAAGTGGTTATTAATGTCGGTCAGGTCTTTGGAAGGGCTCTGATAAGCATGAGTACTCTCTCCAACGCAAGCATAATAGCTTTTAGAGTTGTGTGAGATCAAAGCATCCATCTGTCAAAAGAAGTTGATACAAAGTTGTAAGAAAATATGAAATAAACAACAAAATAAATAAAGAAAAAAGTAAAACAAAGATGGATCAGAATAATCGCATGGAACAAGAGGTTCTTGGGTCTCAGTCAGAACAACCAGATGCATCCACTGGTCAATTTAGTAGGTGAGCCATTGATTGAAAACAATATAGGCAGCGACCAATAGAGCTAGAGAGGCCCAAAGCCATAGAGACTCCAGATGTTAAATGTTCAATCAAAAGAAATTTCTTGAACTCCTTCCTGATAAGATGACATCATTATTGAGAAATCATTGGTATGATTATAAGGTAATGGCCCACCGTCCACAAGTGAAATTGCTGATATAGTCATATGTGCATGCAAAATACATTGACAAAATTCAGCACATGTTGTCAACAGAATCATAACTCTGATTTTTTGACAGGTCAAGTGCTTAGATACTAAACACTTCGGACATTGGAGACTATTAAAGAAGGCTTAAAGATAAAAGAGCCCAACAACATTGCAAAGCTAATACCAAATCAAAATAGTTCAACTACACTAAAAAAGCATGCATTGAAGTTGCTCAGATATATCTCTTCAGCATTTGCCTCATAGAAGCTAAGGGCGCAAGTCAGGCCGGATAAAGGTTAGGTCGGGCTGAATTGGATTTGAGTTGGGCTCGGGATTGCCCAAATTCTTTATTTCTTTTTAAGCTTTTGTCGTTCTAGCATTAATATATATAGAGGGACAAAATCATGGACTTATAGTGCTTTATAATTAATTATTTAACACCAAAACATTTTTCCTTTAAATTTAATTGTCAATACATACATATTATATAATATTTACATATGCAAAAATCAAGACATGTTGGATTCAGGTAGGGTCAGGCTCCATAGGCCTCAACAATAATCCAACCCAGAGTTAATAGAAGCCGTGTTGTTAGAAAAACATCCTAAAACTGACCAAGTCCATCAAACAATTCTTGGAAAGCTCTAACAGTAAGTTAACAAATTAAGGGAAAAATGGAGGATATGGCTGAGGGGTGTGTGGGGGTAACCAGTAGAGCTTCATAGTCGACCCAGGACTGTAACGAGCCAAGAGGAACAAGCCTTAGCCTCGATTGAAGCTCAAATAGCTCAAAAAAATAGACCAAGCTCAGGTGATCTCCACTCATTTACCTAAGATATATCTACATTCTACAAAAACAGCATGTGACAATTAGTTATGCCTTGGTTTATTCAAGATTTATCACCATTTTAAGTTTTATTGTAACCAACAGTGGTTTCTTTGTCTTTTCACAACGGATGTGCCCAGTTTATCAAAAATGGAATGTGCACTAACCACTCCTCTTATTGGTTCTCCTCAATATTTTTTATTTTTTTGCTTTAAATGTTAGAAATGGAATGTGCACTAACCAACAGTGGATATTGTTCTTTTGTGGGAGGAAACCTAGTCACATGGAGAGTCAAGAAACAAAAGTATGGTGGCTAGGTCTAGTGCTGAAGCTGAGTATAGAGCAATGTCCCATGGAGTGGCTAAAGCCATGTGAATAAAGAATTTGTTGAGCAAACTAGGTTTTCCAGTTGATAGTCCCATGTCCTTGTATTGTGATAACAAGGCTGCCATCAACATTGCAGCCAACCCAGTTCTTCATGATAGAACTAAACATATTGAAATTGACAAACATTTTATAAGAGAGAGAATTGTTAATGAAGTGTTCACCCCATATATTAGTTCTAAGGAGCAACTTGCAGATATATTTACAAAAGGCTTACATCACTCGCAGCATGATGACTTGTGTGACAAGTTGGGCATGATTGATATCTATGTCCCAACTTGAGGGGGAGTGTTGAATAAGCTAGTCTTACTTTAGTTTAGCATCGCAAGGGCACATATGTAACTTTACATTGTTTTATTATTTGAACGGTCACCCTAATATAAATATCAAAAAGGCTGATGCTGCCAGCTGAGGTTTTTCTCTCCAAAACCTTTTTTTCTATTTTCTCTCTTCTCCCTCATCTTCTCTCACTATTCTGAGATCCTGCTGCGTGTTTATCAAGAAAACAAACAACAAATAGTCCCAAGAGACAATTGTCAGATACCATCAAAAGCCATAATAAATAAAAATACCTTTGATGAGCGCAGAGGTGAGACATAGACATTATGTGCTGCAGACACTTTCTTTGGGGACATATCAGGGAGATTTGGAAATGGAGTTAACCGAGGGGACCCAGGACACTGACCTGTTTAATAGAAAAAGAAATTTGGGTAAGAAATTTTCTTATTGTTTCTTGTTTAGGTTGTATTGCCTTTAATGAATAGAACTTAAAAACATCAAGTGACTCAAAAAAAAAAAAAAATACAAAAAGAACATGCCATCAGCATTATTGTTAGCTTCAGGAACTCGATTAGTTCTTGGTATTGCTCCAGCCGGACCAAGCTCCACAAGGAGAGGCTTTACGTTCGGAATAAATACTTCGTTATAAAATGTGATAATGTCAACATGCTCCTGCCCTGTTTTCTGTTTCCAATGAAAATAAAGGCTCAGGCTTAAAATTTTATAAAATGGCTAAAAGAGAACATGTTTAGTTATATACCCCATTGCGCCGGGCTGATGACCAGTCAACAAAAACACTGCGGAAAACTTGAGGTTTACACTGTGGTTGCTTCCTATAGTTATAAATTATTTCCCTAAAGGTCAAGTTTAACTGAGAAATCTGCAAGCCAAAATGAACTTAATAAGAATCGTGTCATAAAGGAAAATAAAGAGAGGATAATATATTCTTTTTAAGTGTTTACGCACAGACCTTCGCAACTCCATATAAACTACAGAGGATAATCTGGTCAATATGCCTGTTGAAGAATAGAGCTGTCCGCTGACTAAGGATTTGTTGAACAAGACAGTACACATTCTCCCTGATCTGCTGGGAGAGTTGTAACCTCTCAACCAAGCCACTGATCCTCACAGCTGCTAGCTTCACAATCTATGAAGCAAAACCAGGTCACAGATCAGTGTGAGAACAAAATATCAGGCAGAGGAAATAACTCTAGGAACAAAATAAAGCAATCCGAAGCCTAGACTGATGCAACCTGAGAATATTAATGGGAGTTTAGGGTAATTAATTTGCCACCAGAATAGCTCATCATAGAGACAATAGAAAACCTACAAATAGTTGGTAGACCACAAAAACAGTCCATAAGAGCCTAAATATACATAGCATTCAATCAGTAGCAAGATGCATTGTTTGAAGCATCTCACATGGATCTCCATTACCAACTTGTTCAGATAGTGTATCAATTTGCAGCTTTTTCTTTCTTTTCTTTTCTTTTTAATTTTTCCTTCTAGAGAGTCTCCAACTACAGAAAGCTATAGACTGGAGGGTTCTGACCATATCTTTTTTATTTTTCCTTTTAGCATGTACATTTTCACTTGGAGGACCATCTTTTGCCAACTTACCTGAAAGATTTTTGGATCTCTTATGGGGACAGAAGACAATAGCAAGATGGTATGAAGAAGTTGTTATGAATAGTTATACCTTACCAAAGAAAATATTGATCCCTGTTTCAGCACAAGTTTCCCCTCCTCCTCCCGGATTTGGCCGTGTTGGGCTGCACAAGAGTACACAATGCAAAATTTATAATCAGAGAGAGGAACTTAGAAATATAGATTTGTCAGTTCTGACTCCATGAAATCTAAGTCAAGACCTGGCAAAAGCAGATTGTAAAGGAGGTGGTGGCAGTTTTGACTTAAGACTGTTAAAACCCATTAGACGGTCCTTCACTGGAGATGTAAAGGTATTCCGTTCTACTAAAACACTTCGATAATCATTGCACAATTTCTTTGGAGATCGGATATCTCCATTCTGGCCTGTAAAATGGATATATTAGAAAATAATCAGTTCAGAGGATCTTAGATTTTAATGAAGGCAATATAAAATCTGTTCCATCAACTCCTAGGGTACTTCCATCTAAGACTGTTTGGTTTGAAGGAAAAGGTAGGGAAAGGAAAGGAAAAGCAGGGAAACCTATACAAGGTTTGTTCATGCTTTCCTTCCTTTCCCTAACTTTTCCTTCAAACCAAACATACCCTAAGGGAGACATCATTTTTCTTTTTCTTTTTTTTTTTGAGAATAAGTTAATCAGATTTCATTAAAAAAGACAAGGAGTACATGAGCAGATGTACTAAGCAAAGGAAAGAAAGCTTAAGCAGCAGAAACGCAAAATTACAAGGGGGGAAGCCTGTTGCCATCATTTTTCTTTTCCCTCTCTCCTTTCCCTATTGACCATACAAAGTGTAACAGTAGCTACAACCTTTACATTCAGGATGGTGCCACAGAACTTTTCCCAAATCAAGGGGAGGGGGATCAAATATTGCAGCAAGATGTCTAGGGATAAACTTAGAATCCTCAATTGAAATGTTAAATAAATCTCTACCTGGTAAGGTCTCATGCTTCTGCAAAGAAGGCATAGGTGGCAACCCTCCACATGAAATGTTATTATGCATTGCAATTGCATCAAGTGAAGGCATGGGTTCTGCTAACAACCCCATGCGATTTATTTCTGCAGAAAGGGACGGTCTTGCAACAATCAAAGAATTGTACATTGATGAACCTTTTTCCCATACCATGCTTTCTAAAAGTCTCTCTTCCAAAGAATTTAGATGTCGCCTCAACTCTCTTGGAAGGGATTCTTCATGTCTAATGAAACTCTCTATTACCTTGCTCAAATCAAAAGCTGTAATACCAGTTCTCTCTAAAACCGCAGGGAACAACATGGTTACTGTCTTGTGTGTTGCTAAAACCAGTTCAGCTGAGCAAGCAAGCATACATCTATGAAACCTCTCATTTGTTAACAAAGACGTTAAGTTACTACCATGCAATATTTGAGATTCTGCTGTACACATTGCCTCCAAAACCCTATAGTATAACTTCAAGGCTTCCATTCTTCTCTGCTCTGCCCATATGCTGTCCATCAGGTTTGCACTCTGCAAGCTCCCTACAACATTGCGCTCTCCAAGAGCACTACTTGGGAAGATGGCCTCCAATATTATGTGGGCCCTGCGTATTACATCTGCGGTTACATCTCTGTCACATGACGAAAGAAAGTGCTCCAGTTCTGCTGAGGGTCTTGAAGGGAGTGGAGAAATAATGGTTCTAAGCCACTTTGCTGTTGTCATTGCTGTGCTTACAGGTGTAGGTACCATTTTCAAATTGGCACCAGCTAGACTACCACTTGCAGGTGATGTTGAAGGAGACCGTGGGGGAGAAAGTGGACTTGTTATTGACTTTCCTGGGGAGGATATTGCATCAATCTTCCGCTGCATAATTGGAAAGTTACACAATTGATTTCAAAGACAACTGTGATTTCTATAAGAAACAAACATGCATTGTTTTCTCTTCACCTTGGATTAAAAAATAAATAAAGATATACCTTAGCACCACAGAGGTTCAAGGCACCTCCTGACAAGCTCCCTTTACCAAGTAAGCTCTCTCCCTCACTAACAAACATTCTCTCATCCAGTTCTCCCTTATTATGAATTGCAGCATCATAATCCTTCTCTAAAATAGTTAAACTTGATGACAAAGATGATTCCTCCATTAGATCTTCAAAATAGGTCAGCCCGTCTGCACTTAAAAAGGATAGGAATTTTAACATGGGGAAAATAGATTGCTAATAAACCCTAATTATCAGTAAATAAAAAAGAAAGATGGAAACGAAATAAAAATTTACCTGTGTCAATATTATCCAGGTTCTCAGTTTTGCATTCCGATGCCAAACAGGGTTGTTTCTTCAAGATATCCACTATCAAATTATTTGATTTCTCCATTGTTCTCTTCAACTCATCTTCTGATGTGTCATAAATTTTGCAGAGAGATGCAAGTAGATCCACACTTTTGTTTCCTTTCCTAACTGAAGCAAGTAGTTAAGGCATAAGCACCCATGTGTTATTCAGAGATTATGTTAAAGCTTGAAACAAGTATATTTAACCAAAACTGGCATTCATAAAACTGAAAGGATCATTACCAAAGCGAGGGTCATCATAGATAGAGAAATTCCTCAAGTGCATAGGAACATGAAGAATTAGGATAGCCTGTCAGAAGTTGTGTAACATATTATAAACATTAAACAAGCCACCTCCTTTTAAGGAAAAAAAGACCAGGATGTTCTGACAGGAAATTTGATATTTTATAAAAACAGAAAGAAGAAAACAGAACATCTGAAGTAGAATCTTCAACCCATTTCAGAGATAGAATTGAAAAATAAACTAAGGCCATTTAATTAAATGTTAAGTGGCAGAGGATTGTAATCTACCAAAATTGAAATCAACCCATTTGTGCAAGTCACCAGGTCCCTAAACCGGCTAAATGCATGAACTCGAAGTGCCAAGAACAGCAACCATCCAAATYGGTGGTAATCTGACACATAACCTGTAGACCTCACAACAGCTGTTTGTTTATCAACATTTGCATCACTAGTCGAGAAGAATTCCTGGTATGCACGTTTATAGTACCTGTAAATCATGAGATAAATACAATATACAGTTACATAGGGATAAAATGTACGGTATACCAAAAAAATAGAGAAGAAAAGGTGAAAAGTTCATAAAAGTATATATAACAGCAAGCTTGTACCATTAAATGTAGTTCTAAAATGCAATTAACAAAATTAAAATGAGCAAAGTAAATCCAATTATCCACGCAAGTCATCAAGCACAGATTCAAAGGCAATATCAAGAAACAGATAAGATGTCCTAAATGCTAAACTAGATGACTTTGTTTAAAAAATGTACCACTTTTTAAAGTGAACGTTGTTAGGTGATCATGCCCACTCCACCTATGGCTCTATGTTTCTGGTTGAACTTATAGATACTTATGTTCTTAGTTAAGCTCTATAAAATGCCTTCTAAGTTCCCATTTCTTTTATATTTGTAGCAACGATGGCAAGTTGTATTACAGTTAAGCTCTACAAACTAATAGAGTGTCACCTTGCCCCCATATTTCTATTTAATATGGTAGATATGTGCATCTGTTGGAGATGCCCTTGGAATGCAGTTGTGTTTAGTAATTAGTATCACTGCCTCTGAAGAGAAAAACTTGGTTCTTTGGGTGAAGCAATAGATTAATGTTGAGTTTGTGGGCAATTCTTTTATGCAGTGGGCCCAATGGGCCTTTTTTTTGGTTTCTGGGCCTTTTAGTTATTATGTTTTATTACTGGTTAGTTATTGAACCTTTAGTTAATGGGCCTAGGTCGTTAGTATTTCTGTTTTTATTTGGGACCACACCTAATTAGGGAAGTAGGGGTGTTTCATTCCATTTAACTAGTTAATTACAACGAAAATATGGGGCAGCTGAAGAGAAACTGAAGAGACTTTTAGCCTCTCTTTCAATTTCTCTTCTTGTTCCAAAGTTATTTTCTTTGCAGATTTATTACTGTTAAGTGAGTTCTACAATTTACAAGTTGGTATCAAAGCAAATCTAAGTATTTTTTAGGCTGTCCTCATGCAGTTTTAGGATTGGCCAGCTGCATGGGAGGATAGAAGAGGCTGATCACCAGTTTTTTCCTGCCTGATTCTTGGAGTTTTTTAGGAAGTTTTGTTGCCCAAGCTGTGGTAAAACAGGAAATCAGTGAGTATAAGTGGATCGATCCTCTTTTTTTCCTCTTAGAAAGGACTGACCATACCTGCTGCAGTTGGAGAGTTTCTTCAGTAACCTATTTGAAATCAATCTAAGCAGAAAGGTGTCTTGGACTTTTTTTGGAGGTCAGCCAGCCTTGTTTCAGGATTTTGGTGGTTCGCAGATTGGCACTATAACTCCGGGAAAGGCTTTGGGACTGGTTCTTGGAGCTGTGTTCATCTTTGAAAGCTATAACAAATTGCTTAGGGCCTCCCAGTGTGTTTGAAAAGGTATAGATGTTTCTTGAGACGATCAAAAGACATAGTGATGATGGGAGCTTAATGGGAAGTGTATTTGATCTCCAGAAAACAATACCATTACTACTATAAGACCGGATGGATCAAACTATCTACAATGGGCTCAACCTGTGAAGATTGGAGTTGGATGTCGTGGTAAATTGGGATATATCACAGGAGACAGGAACCTGATTCCAAGGATTTCTCATTCATGGGAACTTGCTAATACTCCTTTTGAGCAGAATCATATGAATTGTGCCACAGAAAGTGATACCCTAGAGGATGTTGCAAACTATCAGAGACTAGTTGGCAAGCTGTTATACTTATTCCTAACCAAGTCAAACATACCTTATGCAATTAGTGTGGTTTAGCCAGTATGCATGCTACCAAGACCCATTTTGCAGCTGTAGGATGGATTTTAGTTAACCTTAAGAAAAATCCTGGAAGAGGAATCCTATATGCAAATCGTGGGCATATAAAGGTGGAAGCACATGACGGTGCAAAACTGCAAATTGAGCTAGATCGGTAGATGATTGGAGGTCGACATCTGGTTCCCATACCTTTGTTGGCTAAAACATTGTATCCTAGAAAAGAAGTTAGTGGTAGCACGGTCCAATGTAGAAGCAGAATGCAAAAGCATGGCTCATGCTGTCTCTGAGTTGCTTTGGATATGTTCCCTACTTGGAGAACATGGGAGTAATGGTAGAAGAGCCTTTGAGACTTTAACAATCAAGCCACCATTAACATAGCCCATAATCCATACAACATGGCCAGACTAAACACAGAGAAGTGGACAAACACTTTATTCAGGAAAGAGTTACATCTGGTTAAGTGATCCAACCATATATTGCCTCTCACCTATAGCTTGTGGATACGTTTACAAAGGGAGTTGCAGAGAATAAGCCGGAGAATGGTGTTGGCAAGTTGGGCATGATCAACATCTATACCCAACTTGATAGGGAGTGCTGATGGATGAGTTTGTGGATTGTTTATACAGCTGATTCTTTTATGTAATGGGCCCAATGGGCTTTTTTGTTTCTGGGCCTTTTAGTTATTATGTTTTATTTATTGTTTAGTTATCAGGCATTCAGTTAATGGGATGGGCCTAAGTTGTCATTAGCATTTTTGTTTTTATTTGGGAGTTGGGACCACACCTAATTTGGAGACAAGGATGTTTTGGTCCATTTATTTTTTGTTAATTAGTATATAATGAAAATATGGGGCGGCTGAAGAGACTTTTAGCCTCCCTTTCAATTTTCTCTCTTCTTCTTCTTGTTCCAGAGCTATTTTCTTTGCAGATTCACTATTGTTGGGTGAGTTCTACAATTTACAAGTATTAACTAGGTTTCTCAATTAAAACAGCTTGCTAATCTTCGTTCCATCAGCAAAAGAATGTAGTCACCAGAATACATTTCAAATACAATTTTGCAAAGAAACAAAAAATAGTATTGTTCGTTTCCATCTTCAGATTTTCTTCAAGTAATGGTTTTCTGTATCACCAGGGATCTTGAAACCTGAATGGACAATATACCATAATTGACTTTATATTTTATAATAATTATGATGATGAAGACAAAGAAGAAACAATTTTAATAATCAAGAATTCATTGAGTGCTTCATTCATATACATTTTTTAAGAACAAAGTAAAATACAAATGTAGAATGCTCACTTGCTTAGAAGGCTCAAGTGCACAAAATTGGCCTGCAACTCCTTTGCCTGATTCCAAAAATGTACAAACAGAATTAAACAAACAAAAAAAAGAAGATTGCATACAGTTAAATGCATAAAACAACGGTTTTAGCACAGACAATATTACAATCCCTTTGGTAGACATGGTAATACCTCCAATCTCTTCTCCCAATCTGCACCATATAGATTGCTCAGAATTGGACCAGCCTTGAGAAAGAATTGTGGCATCTCTTTGAAGAAATCCACAATGCTGCAAAACATGCAAAAAAGCGGTAATCAATGTAGAAATAAAATGTTAACAAATTCATGATTAGATAGGGAATCAGACATACTTCAGCTTAGCTGCCCTCAGTATCTGACATAGCGTAAAGCGATTTTCATCGTTCTCTTGCTTTGCCTTCATAGCATCCCCGTCACTTAATCTCTTCACAGAGTATAAAATGAATGCAAACCAAAACCTTTCAACTTCTTCTGGCTGGAATTGAGATATATAATGCAATCAATACAATGATGAGAAAAAAAGAAAATGGGAACACCTCGATTTTCAATATTAATTTTAAGTCAAAAGGAATTTTCAATTCAGACAGGGGGGGGAGAGAGAGAGAGAGAGAATGTAATCCACGAAGTACAACAAATACCGTTCCGCTTCCAACTGACGACATATTTGCCAAGAGAAGATGTTTACTTTCTCTGAACAGCCTCATAGCTTGTGAAAACGTACCCTCGTCAAGAGATACTCCAACCTACAACCAGATCCCATGTTAAACCATGTAAAATTAAGGATCAAATCAAACCGGTAGTGAAAGAGTACAATAGAATTACTGAAATAGTATTAGTAAAACATCTGAAAAGAGTAAATATAAAAAGGAAACAAAAGCTTAAATTCAAGAAAGAATTCCAAACACAACTAATAATCAGAAAAGAGAAAACCTTGCAGAGCTCTGTAAATCGAGCTTCCATGCCACCGCCGTCGTTGGAATGAGAATTACTCGCAGAAATAATGGGCTTCACGTCTTCCATCTTCAAAGCAGCTGTACTCATAGATTTAAATAAGCTGCCTCTCTCTCTCCCCTTCCCTCACTAACCAAAGCTGATCTATCACCATTACTCGATTATACAGAGAATAACAGCAGCAAAGACCAGAAATTTGAATAACGGATAAAAACAAGGAAAAAGTTGGCGATTTTGATGCAAACGAAATGGTTAATGGTGTAGATCTCCGATCTCTTCAAATCTCTATGCGTAGATCCACGGCTCAAAGTATGTAGTGATATATCATAAAAACCCCCAACTCTTGGACGAATTCAACATAGAAGAACACTTCACTGATCGAATCGAAACGAGGGTTTTGTGTCTCTAGTCGTAAAACAAAACCCTCCTGTCTTCCCTCCCTTTTCTCTGGCTTTTTTCCCCCTTTCTCTCTCTCTCCAGAAACCCTCTCCCTCCGTGCTCGCGCGGGAAAAAACAACATAGCATGTCATGCATGTGGATGTGTATGTAAAACAACATAACATTCATGTATGATGCCATGGCTCCACAGAAACAGAATATAGCCGACCCACCCCAACCCTAGACATCGTTAACCCGAAAAACCGAAGAGCAAATTTCTGAAAGTATCCCTAAGATTTAATTAATTGACAAATTTTACCCTTATTTTTTGATTATTTTCTTAAAATATCTTAATACTTGTTACAAGTGGTTATTTGCATTCTATTATTAAACTCGTTAATGTTAAATCAAAATCTGTGCACACGTGACATTACCTAACGTATAAATATTTCTAAAAATCAATACTACTCTTCAGTTACAAAGCCGTATTTTGGAGTTGGGGCAAAGGTGATGTTTAATACTCTGTTCCTCTCACGAATTCTAAGGTGATGTTTAATACTCTCTGTTCCGCTAACGAATTCTCTGAAGAAGTAATCCTTCTCGTTAAACGATAAAAAGAAAAGAACTAAGTAACGGAAGAGAATGTAAAGGATCAGCGGTGACATCAAACAAAGCTTCGGTTTGATAGAGATTGGAATATGAACTATGAAGTTGGGTAGAAGTAGAGGTGAAATGAACTATGAAGATTGGAATATGAACAAAGCTTCGGTTTGATAGAGATTGGAATATGAATATGAACTATGAAGTTGGAATGTAATGATCAGCGGTGACATCAGCGAGAGAACTCTCTCTCCAGATCTCTTGATGTTCTTCATTATTGCAGAAAGAAAAAGAGGGACAATTAACTTGAAGAGCGGAGAAACCAAAATACATACAACCATACAGGAAGGCTGTTGTCGCCTATCAGAATCAATTCCCAAATCACTAAGGTTGTGTTTGGAAACGATGCAAATAAAGCAGGATAAATTTGTATTAGGGCTGTTTATGGGTCGGGTTGGGTCGGTTTGCTGAGATTTTTCCAATCGATCCGACTTGGTCAGGTTACCTGAAATTGAAACTGAAATCGACCCTGTGTTAAGTAAAATTGACCTGGTCAATTTGAGTCAATTTGGGTCGGTTTCGGCTCTAAGTTCAACATGGTAATAAATTGGTAGATTGGAGAAAGAAGACTGAAATTTGATGCAAAAAATGACACCTAGTTCTATTAGAGAAAGAATACTGAAATTTGTATATTTCAAGAAACCTTCTAATCTAAGTAAAAAATTATACCTAATTCTAATTGTAATTGGTTGCCTATTTGGTATAAAAGACCATAAAAACTAGGATCCTTTGATTTTTTTCTTTAAACTTTTCAAAAAAAAAAATTATTATCTAATTGTCTTACAATACTTGCCATTAATGTCATTTCTAACTAGAAGACTAGAAATTAAGTTAGGTTGTAACTAGGATAGAGACAACTTAGTTAAGTATGAACTAAGTAGGCTGTAACTACTAACTAAGAACTAACTACTAATTATTAAGTCGGTTTCGGTTCGGATCGGTTTGGTCGAGTTGGGTCTTCTTATGAACAGCCCTAATTTGTACTTCAGTTCACTTTTGTTTATATTTGACAACATTACATTTATGCATTGACAAATGATAGACCAATGCATATTTATATTGATAATAAGATATAAAAAAAGTACATCAATAAAAAAGAAGTAAATTTGCATTCAAGTGGGCTTTTGATAAAAGAAAAGGCATATGTTTTATTGGAATTTATGTTTACATCCATTACAGCTAAAAATTAATTTGATAAGAAGATAAATTTGTCAAAGCAAAACTAACTCAACTTTATAATTTATGTGGACCATTTTACACTCTACATATTTACATCGCTTTCAAACACAACATAAAATTCTCAATAAAAATGCACCAATTAGGAAGATTGATAAGGATGCAATGTAATTCAATTGAAAAAACATCCTTCATACACCGATTCCCTAATTCCTAGAGAAAGAGCATCACTTGAGGACGTTAACCACCTCTGTGAGTTGATTTGGGAAGTCAAAGTGACAGAAACCCATTGTCATTGGAATTATTGAGCCCTCCACTCATCCTTGCCTAGTTGCCTTCACTAGTGATGGTACGACAGCTTCGCTGTGATAGGAAGCATAGCGTTGCTATTCTTCTGAAACGAGACATAATAAGAGATGGTGAAAACGATAATGATCAGATAAACTACAAACTAAAGAAGTCCAAGAAGAGCAACAATTAAGTTTCTAAAAAGATGAAAAATCCTGTTCTTGCAGTAGGGTTTTATTTTGAAAAGTTGAGAAATAATGAAGAGTAAATTTGATATTTTATTTTTTCGTTACGATTTAACAATAACGACAATTGCCTGAAACACTATAAATATTTTAAAACAATATTGAAACAATAGGGTATAGCTAGTCAATTCCTAAATCTTAAAGGAATAGTTTAAGAAATTTACCATCTTTTATCGCCAAAATTCTTTCTTTATATGAAACCTACCGTTAACCATGTGGAAGACTGAAGTGTAGTAGATTGAAACCCCAAACCCTATGCGAGGGCTTTCTTTGGTCCCACTCCCACCAGGCACCAGTTCTACTTCTACGTCTTCTACCCGCCTGCGTTGCCACCTTTCTTCTTCATTTCGGGTTCGACTATGATTCCAGGAAAACTTGTAAGTTGTAACCAAATAAACCAGTCAGCCCCAAGTGGAGCAACTAAACGGATCTGTACGATGTGGGTTTTATTCTATGGTTTTCAAAATCGGATCAGACAAACTGGATTTTTGCCAAGAAAATATTGATTTGGTTAGTAAACTGTTGACCCAAGCGGTTGAACCGTTCAAACCATTCAACCGTCTTGACTGTTTTTTAATTTTTTTTTAATTTTTTATCTTTTTGTCATAAGGGATTGTCTGTTCGGTTCGAACGGTCGGACCATTCGACCTGGGAACTGGATCCCTAATCGGTTCATTGTCCGAATCGGTTATAAAAACCTTGCTTTATTCTGTGAGAGTGAAGCAAACGGAACCTCATCTTAATGAGCCACATTTAATCAATGATTTTTTATTATGTTTATTATTTTAAATGGATCTTTAATGATTAATGGGTATAATTTTTTATTAAATTTTAAATAAATGACTTTTTTAATATTTATTAATTTTATTACTTTCAAATGGATTGAAAATCTTAATTAGAAATTAAAATTAGAATAAATCAATTTTAAAATTGAATTATTATTTTTTTTTTCAAGTGGAATAATTATAATTGAATTTAAAATATTGTAATTAATTAATTAATACAATATTAAATAATTTTTCTTATTATTTATTGTTGGTAATTTTCTTGAGTTTTGTGTGGTTTAAATTAAATCCATTTTATTTTATGTTATTGTTTTGTTTGTTAGTGGAGTATCTTGAGTCCCACATGAATTAAGGTTCCGTTTAGTTCGATTCTCATTTCTTCCATTTGAGAGAATGGCCATTCACTGCCCCTCCCTTGGGAATGAAATTTCATTCATGTCGATTCCAATTCCCCCCCCCCCCCCTTACCAAACATACTATGGAAATAGATCATTCTGATTCCAATTCCGACTACGAAAGAAGAAAACTCCTCTTATGTTTATCTATTGTTTTGTATACTTAATTTACGTCTTATATGGCTTGTAGAGAGAGTGCATTTGAACTCCTGCACGTATTCATTGTACCAAGCTAGGTCTAGCACACATGCCTTTTCGCCTATCATGCCATGCGTGTGGGTCCAAGGTTCTTATTTATTTATATTTTTAAGGTATTTAATGTTTTAATTCCTTGGAGTCTACTTTCTAACATTCTTTTTTGTAAATCCACACTCTCTTAATTGTGGAAGAACCCCCAAAATTAGTGGGAGATGTTTTGTCTTTATTGTCAAAACAATTGCAAATTTCCATCTTTACAACTAGCTTCTAGTCTTGGAGTTATGCTCTGGGCTGTGGGCATATATATAGTACATTGGTTCGTTGGTTTGGGCTGTGGGTGTACATACGCCAAGGCTAAAAAACTGTTATATTATGGAGGCGGACTGTCAGAAACCTTCTATATGTACAAAAATACTTCGAAAGGTTGCTAAATTGGTTTCAAAGAGAGTATACTAGTTGAGATGTTATTGATGAATTATCCACCCACTCATTATTATTTTGTTATATATAATTCCTTGCAGTTTGAATCTATTCTTGATTGAAAACCTGATTTAACTGTTATAGCCATATTTCTTAAGATTTTTTCAACATTTATAAATTAAAAATGGAACCTATATGAATATCAAATCAATAGATAATATAAAAATGAACCCCATTTTAAAGGTTTTGTTTGTAAGATGTAAGAAATATTGTAATGCAAATCAGCAAAAAAGAAGGGTAAGACCCACTCTATGTGAAACAGCCCAAATAATTAAATAAATACCATAGGTGAAGGTAGTAGTGTAACAATGGGTGATTTGGGCGGTATTTGGCATCAATGCCGTTGCTTCAGAAATGGTAATACATTTGGAATACATTTGGAATCGTTTGGAAAATGGTAATACATTTGGAAAAATCGGTGCTTTAGAAAATGGTAATACATTTGGAATCGTTTTTTCATAAAAAACGGTGCTCCAAATCACACCTTGGAAATTGAGAAGGCATGGTCTAGGGAGACTCTGGATCTTCTGCCCACGCCTACCCACAATACACCACCCCTCGTGAATTGGGAACATCTCCCCCTGCATAATACTATGCAGAGGATGAGATGTTCTCTATGTGTGGCTGCAATAAACATGGGCAGGAGATCCGGGCTCATCTAGGGAAATGTCAAATTTGACGTTTTCTCAATTTAGCGCTTGTTCCTGCCAACGAGGACATGATGTGGCAGTGGYATGGACTTCCTATAATGGGTACCAATACTGAAAATAGATATGAAGCACTGGTACCAAACAGGAAGTGTTGTTGTTACCCCAAAAAATGTCTTACCAGGCAGCAAAATAGACACCATTTTCTCAGAAAACAATACTTCCAACCCACACATATACAACACTGTTTTCTGAAAAAATAGTGTTGTATATGCAGC